TTTCTGAAGCTAATGGTAATTATTATAGCTGTGGTGGTGTTAGGTGAGTGGATTGGTGTTGTATTTTAGTAGTTTTTATTGTTTTTTGTTGTAGTATTGTTATTGTTAATGCTATTTGTGATGTTATTGTTGTTGTTATGTTGTTATTATTATTATTATTATTATTATTATTATTATTATTATTATTATTATTATTATTATTATTATTATTATTAATATTATTGTTATTATTATTATTAATTTTTAAATATTATTATTAGTATTGTTCTTATTTTTATTATTGGTATTAGTATGAGTATTATTATTATTATTATTATTATTATTGTTATTATTATTATTATTATTATTATTGTTATTATTATTATTATTATTATTACTATTATTGTGGCTCTTATCATTGTTATTAGTATGATATTTTTATCATTATCATTATTGTGATTATTACCATTATTATTATTGTCATTATTATCATAATCATTATTATTGTTATGAGTTATTTAGTTGTATATAAGTTTCTCGTAGCACGAGCATTTCCTTCTATAGAATTAGAAATACATATTTAAGCAGCATCATTAATAATAACTGACTTGTTTGAAGATATTAAATATGATGATGATAAAAATTTAATGAATCAACTACATATGTCACTGTCATCGTTCAGCTTTTTATTAGACGTTGAATAATATATTTTAAGAGCACTTTTGACAATTCTTAACTCTCGTGTAATCTATTCCCATGGCTTTATTATTGAAGATTATAACATGATATTAATTACTCGTCTTTTTCCTCATCTGCATTTAATTTATTTTTGGTGATTCTTAACCCTCTTATTCACTGTTCTTGTTATATATATATATGTCGAACATTATAACATGATACTAATTACTCGTCTTTTTTCTTCAGGATAATGGCACCCAGCCTCGTCTTCGTGTACGGCACCTTAAAGCAGAACGAGCCGAACCATCACTGGCTCACCGACAAGGAAAACGGGGAGTCTAGGCTCGTTGGGAAGGCAACAACTCAAGAACGCTATCCTCTGGTCATTGCGTCAAAATTCAACATTCCGTTTCTCCTAGCTGTTCCAGGGAAAGGGGAGGTAATTAGGGTTATCTTTGTGTCATATATACATTTTTTGTGTATTGTGTCTGTTGCTATATATTTGTGGAAAATTTCAGATGTGTTGAATTTTTTTTCTTTTTTGAGTAGAGGTACTATTATTAAGTTAGCAAAGACTTACTTCATCATTCTGTTCCAATAGACCTTAATAATTTTGCTAAAATTTGTTGATATTTTGTATTACGGGTCACATTTGTTTCATTCTATGTGGCAATATGACCCAAATGAAAAGCAAATTTTCATATGTTTTACTAAAAGATTGATATAATCCTCTAATGTCAGTGTGTGAATTGCCTTATTGTTTTATGCAAAAGAAATAACAGTGGGGAGTGATAACACATTAAAAGTGAAAAACCAAAGTACTCATGAATTGATGTCTATATATATTCAATATAATTTCAAAGATCAGAAACTTTTTATCACAAGACACCATTTGCACAAAACTTTTGTGATAGTAACAAAATTGAGTTCATGAACTTCATACAAATGAGAGTAATGCTGTGGTATTCAATGACAATTATGTAAATCATTAGAAGTATATAATACATACTTAACATTATTCATTAATTTACACATGTATTTTTATGTGATTAGCAATAACTATCAAGGTGCATTACAGTAAAGCTAAATTTTAACCATTTTCTTGAGTTCAGTTGAGAGAGAGAGAGAGAGAGAGAGAAAGAGAGAGAGAGAGAGAGAGAGAGAGAGAGAGAGAGAGAGAGAGAGAGAGAGAGAGAGAGAGAGAGAGAGAGAGAGAGAGAGAGAGAGAGAGAGAGACAGAGACACAGAGAGAGAGAGAGAGAGAGAGAGAGAGAGAGAGAGAGAGAGAGAGAGAGAGAGAGAGAGAGAGAGAGAGAGAGAGAGAGAGAGAGAGAGAGAGAGAGAGAGAGAGAGATACAGACACAGACACAGAGAGAGACATTGACACAGAGAGAGACACAGACACAGAGAGAGCACAGACACAGAGAGAGAGACACAGACACAGAGAGAGAGACACAGACACAGAGAGAGAGACACAGAGAGAGAGAGAGAGACACAGAGAGAGAGAGAGAGACACAGAGACGAGAGAGAGAGACACAGAGAGAGAGAGAGAGACACAGAGAGAGAGAGAGAGAGCACAGAGAGAGAGAGAGAGAGAGACAGAGAGAGACAGAGAGAGAGAGAGAGAGACAGAGAGAGAGAGAGAGACACAGAGAGAGAGAGAGAGACACAGAGAGAGAGAGAGAGACACAGAGAGAGAGAGAGAGAGAGAGAGAGAGAGAGAGAGAGAGAGAGAGAGAGAGAGAGAGAGAGAGAGAGAGAGAGAGAGAGAGAGAGAGAGAGAGAGAGAGAGAGAGAGAGAGAGAGAGAGAAAGAGAGAGAGAGAGAGAGAGAGAGAGAGAGA